GGGACTCCAGGATCATGACCTGAGCCGAAGGCAGTCGCTTAACCAACTGAGCCACCCAGGTGCCCCCAAACCATAAGAGACTCTTAAAGATAGAGAACAAACAGGGTTGATGGAGGGAGGTGGCGGGAACGGGCTCGGTGAGTGATGGGTATTAAGGAGGACACTTGTTATGATGAGCACTGGGTGTTGTATGTAAGTGATGAATCTCTGAATTCTCCTGAAACTAATATTGCACTGTATGTTGAATATAAATTAAAAGTTTGAGAAGAAAAAAATGACATTTTAATGAATTAGAGGTTAGGTTATTCAAAGAGAAAGCTTGTTTACCTCTCCTATTTTTTGTTGTTTGTTTTAAATAGGTTTTCTCAAAGTAAACTAAGGAGAACATTTATATCTCTTGTCAGAGTTTCAAGAGTTTTTAATACAGTATGAGTGAAGTGGAGAGTTAAAGTAGTGGCTTATTTGTTCATCTCTGGCTGTGTTATCTATTACTACATAACAAATTCCTCCAAAAATTAGGAACTGAAAACATTTATCTCCATGCAGTTTCTGAGGATCAGGAATCTGGAAGTGGCTTAGTTGGGTAATTCTGGCTCAGGGTCTCTTATTAGATTATAGTCAAAGGCTATAATCTCTGCAGGCTCAATTAGGGCTGAAGGATTTTCTTCTAAATTCAGTTGTGTGGTTGTTGGCAGGCCTTAGCTCTTCACCACATAGGTCTCTCAATAGAGTTGTTTGACATGGAAGCTGGCTTCCTCCAAAGTGAGTGATTCAAGAGAGAAAGAGGGTGATCAAGATGGAATCCATAATGTTTTTTAGAATCTAATCTCAGAGGTACCATGCCATCGCTTCTGTCATAGTCTTGCTCACATAGACCAATCCTGGTTCATTGTGGGAGAGACAACTATACAGGGATGTGAATGCCAACAGGTAGGGATTGCTATAGCCCCCCTTGAAGGCTGGCTGCCGCACTCCGCTAAGGACTCCTGTGTCTGCCTCTCAGTGTTCAGAAAGACAGGGATAGGACAGTTGATATTGGCTTCTCCAGTCTCTCTTCCTCTGCTGTGTCCCCCATCTCCCTCACCCAGGGGAGACAGAAGGGTGATTTCTTCTCTCTGCTACCAGAATCAGCAGTTTTCTCTCTTCACCTTCCCACCTGGAGACCCTCTGAGTATGCCTCAAGGCCATGAAACTCTCAACATTGCCTCTCCTACTCCTCCTGAAGAGTAGTTTGATTGAGCTTTTTGCCAAATGTGCCCATATTTTATTAACCAGATTGTTTCTCCATCACAGGATACAGCTATGAGCAAACTCTGGTTCAAACAAGATGATAAGTTTTTCTTGCCAAAGGCTTGTCTCAACTTTGAATTTTTCAGGTATGTAAAATGAATCTGGCTACAAAGTTTCTTTTAAAAATCAATGATCCCATTCCTAAAAGTTGTCTTTGCTTCAGGGATGACCCATGTGTAGAAATGAAAGAAACTAGAGTTATGTAGCCTGGACCAGGGAAGGCTGCTGCTGGTAAGGGATATTGTAAAAGTCAAGGTTGTCAGTTCTTCCTTTGCACTGATGAGCACACCCTTTAACTGACGTGATTTATGTTAGCCATTAGGAGGACCCTTCCTAGCCTTCAGGACTTTGGAGTCTGTGGAGGCTGTAGACTCACCCAGAAATTTCATTCAGGAAAGATTAAATAATTGAGGGTGTTTTATGTTGTAGTTTCGGTTTTGTATTCTGAAACTCACCCAGAGGGGGAGGTAGTAGTTACTACATGGTTTTGAATCTTTTCCAGCCTTTAAACATCTGAAGCCCTTAGATATTGTTTTCTCTGTTCTTGGCGTGGTCACTTAAAAATGATTTAATTAAAAAGGAAGAACATGTTTAGTAACGTTTATGAATACTACTGTTGGAATGATTTCTCAATATAAATCTGCAGTTCATCTCTGTTTCCTTTTATTTATTTCTGTAGTAAAGTATATCATCCAGTTCAAATTTTACTTTGTGAGTTTGTACTGCATAATTTTTATTTAAAATTCAATGGTGTGTGTTTATGAAATAAACCTAGCATCATGTAATAATGTTCACTAATTTTTATTGATTGATTTGACATGAAACTTAAACTAAATGCATTTTAAATGTTTTGGAATAGGGAAAAAGAAACTCTAAGTAGAAAATTAGTATTTCACCAAATGTATGGATGAGCTTGTAGGGGGATGTAAACATTGTATTTTATAGCACGAGATTCGTGGACTTATCTGGAGCTGTGCTGAGATTGTTTACTTTTCACACTAAACATGAACTGTCTGGCTGTGGCTTATTGTTGGTAGAAAGTATTACAAAGCTGGTTTTATTTATTTTTTTTT